CCTCCTCCCCCTAACGTTTTCCCCAGACCGCCCCTCGACCACCTCCACCCCTACCTCCCTAACTCTGTTGAACCATTTCAAAGGCTTGGTTCCTAGAGTCTGGGCTGAGACCAACCCGTTTGGTCTAGCAGGACACCAGCCCCCAGTGGTGGTCCAGCTCTCGTCCACAGCAACCCCTGCGAGTGTCCAACAATACCTGTTGACTCGAGCTGCCCTTTTGGGCATCAAGCCTCACATCGATCGACTCTTGGCGGCAGGCATTCTACGCCCCTGCCAGAGCTCGTGGAACACCCCCCTACTTCCAGTTCGCAAGCCCGGGTCTGGAGACTTCCGTCCTGTCCAGGATCTACGAGAAGTCAACGCCCGGGTGGAAACTGTACATCCTACTGTGCCAAACCCGTACACGTTGCTATCTTCCCTGGACCCTGCTCGGACTTGGTATACTGTTTTGGACCTGAAGGATGCTTTCTTTTCCATTCCCTTGGCACCAGTAAGCCAACCTATATTCGCTTTTACTTGGACAGATCCTAACACTGGGACATCCTCTCAGCTCACCTGGACCTGGCTTCCCCAAGGTTTTAAGAACTCCCCTACACTTTTTGGCTCAGCTCTGGCCTCCGACCTGGCCGCCTTCCGGGTCTCGTATCCGGAGGTCACTCTCCTCCAGTATGTTGATGACCTTTTGTTAGCTACTTCCTCTGAGGCAATATGCAAAGATGCAACTCTCCACCTTCTCCAGCTGCTTGAAGCTTCCGGGTACCGTATCTCTGGAAAGAAAGCACAACTGTGCTCTCAATCCGTTGTTTACTTGGGTTTCACCCTTCGTTCTGGTCAAAGGTTACTGTCTCGGGGGCGTGTAGCTGCCATTTTGGGCATGCCCGCCCCGAGGGACCGCCGCGGGCTCCGGGAATTCCTGGGGATGGCTGGATACTGTCGCCTCTGGATCTTGGGGTTTGCCGAGGTTGCCAAACCCCTATATGAGGCCCTAACTGGTGAACCCACCCAATTTGTTTGGGGACCACGGCAGCAGGAAGCATTCGACAAGCTCCGAAAGGCGCTGTCCAGCACGCCTGCCCTCTCCCTGCCAGACCTGTCCAAGCCCTTCCGCCTCTATGTGTCTGAGTCTCGAGCTGTGGCCAAAGGGGTTCTGACCCAGCTCCTGGGGCCCTGGAATCGTCCTGTTGCCTATCTCTCCAAGCAGCTGG